CAAGACTGCACCTTCCTGACTCCCCCACTAAGACTGCCTGCTTCCCCCTTAATCTTTGGCTCATACCAGCAGACAATACAAATCTGTGGTATCAAGTGTCCTAGGTATGCTATCCATTAAAACTCAGTTTAGCCAAAAGAGCAACTTACTTTCTTATTCAGATTTGGTATTTTTGTTTTATGAAATGAAAAAGTAACCACTATTTACAATGCACAGAAACTAACATAAGATGCCCATTGGGCAGTTATCGAGACCTAAAAGTGAGAAGCCTCTTTTGAATGGTAGCTAGCTGGTGCAGAGACTAATCAAGAGACTTGACAAATACAAAAGAGCAGTGTTTTTGGAAGGTGGGCTGGTTTTTGCAAGAAGGCTGCTATGGAGGATTTTTATATGTACAAGGATGGTGTTCCAGGTCTCTGCCTCAGATACAGGCTGGCAGGCTAATGCAATCAAAACATATACCTCTCAATGGATTTCAAGGACCAACTGCTTCCTCTTCACCCAATTGCCTAGCTGAAACCTCTTGGTCTGTGCTTCCTCCACTAGCCTTTCTACCCAGCTCAAGTCCCTGATGTGCAGATTAAAATACTGGATGCCTGTGGCAAGGAAAACTACATCTATGGAAAGAGAAAACTGCCAGACAGTCATGGCATTCTGCAGACCATGTTCCGTTTGCAATGCTCAGGAACTCAGTTGGTCCTCTTGTGGAGATCAACTGAATGGATCAAGTGAGACAAATCTTTGCAAAGAGGCTTTGGACTATGGATTCTTACCAACTGTTTTTATAGACCAGTGGTCCCCAACCTTTTGTGGGCAGCCGGGGGCAGGGCCATGTAAGCACCACACATCTGGGGCCCAAAAACCGCTTGGGCCCACCCTGATCACTTGGTGGGTGCACAAGTGCCCCAGCAGGCACCATGGCACCCATGGGCACCACTGTCATAGACCATTAGCTTGCCACACAATCCCGTTGCAGATATACTGAAATGCATGGAGGACCGTTTGCAGTTTTTCTTTTTGGAAAAGGACTAGTTATGTTTTGGAGGAAACTTTGTAAAAGGGATCCAAGTGTGATAGAACAGTTATCTTCAGGTATATTCAAGTAGCTTAGAAGTTAGTTCTTTAACTCAAACCCATTAATACTAAAAGTTAACTGTTTCAGTACTAAAATATCCAGCTAATGAGTTTACCCCAACATGCCTCAACTCCCCAGATGCTATAAGCATTTTCATTCCACAGCAAGAATTAGTCAGTGTGACAGGGCCTGTGCCAACAGGGGGGACAGAGGAAGTCCCACGCCCAGCCATACTCCAAATGCTGGGCTAAGGAACTCAGCTCAGCCTGGATTGGATGCTGGAGAGGATGGGCCTCTAGCAGCTCCAGAGATGAACCAGCCACAGATATGGACAGCAGTGGCCATGGATAAGAGACCGGAACAAGCCTCCCGAGACCCATGGAATGACTTTCAGTGAAACTGGAGAACCCCCAAACCTCACGGATAGCTCAGGCATATTGGTGGGATTCCTCGCTGAGCTAGCCAGGGCTGTACAGACAGCAGTAATAGCACACCTCTGTCAACACCCCCCTCCGACCAGGGTGTACATACACCACCAGTCAGGTATACAGATTTTAACCTAGAAGGCCATTCCCTGTTTTTGTTGGCGATGTTACTCTGAGCCCTCCTTAGGCTATAATCAATACTGGGGCTAGTAATAGCTCTACTTCATCAACTTTACCTTTTCTTAAGATTTTTGTTTTATATATTTTGCCGACTGCTTCATCCACATTTTCAGAATGTGATTTGGAAAGGCATTAACTCACACCAGACACAGCTTTAGTCCAAAACTCAAAAGCTTGGCACTCGGGGTATCTGTACAAAGGATTAGCTATTTTAATGGTCAGAGAACAATGATATCCAAAGACTTGGAATAATGCTCTAGTGTCAGATGGAGCTGTTATATGCATGGCACATATCCACAAGTAGTGTCAAAATCTTCTGAACCGAATTCCAAGAATAGGCCCTATTAAAGGATTTCCTAATGTAGCCTCCAAAACTTTCAGTCCATTGGTCTTAATGTTTACTCCAACCCAGAGAACACTGGCATGCCACAGTCTCCTAGTAGGAAGGAAGCCACTTGGGAACAGCCTGGACAATTAAAGAAGCCTTTTCTTCAAGTAAGTGCAGCCAGGATGAATCCGCCATTTCCCCCATCACTTTCTGTGCTGTTTAATAATTGAACACCTGCTAATACTCACATGTAATCAGTGGTGCAAGTGTCGTGCTCCGTAAGGCTGACCATCTTCAATGTGTCACTGATTCATACAAAGTCACTGTCCCAGCCTCAGACTTTTTTCTTTTAATCTCATTTCAAGACAATGTATTTTGCACCTCAGAAATTAAAAGCTCATTCAATACACAGGCAATCCCTAAGCCCATAAAAATAAACGATAGTACTTTATCAAAATACTAAATTTTATTTTCACATGTACATTTAGTTTCCCCACCACTTCCATTTGTCTGACCACCACCTCTGCTCTGCCTTATCAAAACATTCCACACATACGTAAAATGAAGCAAGGGTGGAGTCCCGTCTTTAAAAACTAAACAGGCATTTTGGACAACACATTCTTGGCAAAGTATTCTGGACGACATACTTTATCAAAATACTAAATTTTATTTTCACATGTACATTTAGTTTCCCCACCACTTCCATTTGTCTGACCACCACCTCTGCTCTGCCTTATCAAAACATTCCACACATACGTAAAATGAAGCAAGGGTGGAGTCCCGTCTTTAAAAACTAAACAGGCATTTTGGACAACACATTCTTGGCAAAGTATTCTGGACGACATTTATCA